TTGTCATATTTGCTGATGCTAGTTATATTTCTAGGGAGGGAAGGGGCTGACTCATTGGCATAGCAGACAGGTCATGGCTTTCCCTTGAATCATTTGGTCTTGCCAAGGAATATCTTATTGATTAGAAATTGTTTCCATGGCTATTGGGGGGAAAAATAGAAAAATATATCCTGGTGTCCAGGAGAGAACAGATGGGAAGCAGGATCTTCTGCAGCTCTTTTTGCACCAGGATGACATAATAATTTTAATGAAGAGGCTGCATTTATTCTGAGTTCTCAGATACCTGTAAACTTAGTTTGTAGTAGAAGTTATTGCACATGTTAGGGAAAGGTGTTTACGAAAGCTCAGGGATCTTTGTGCACTAAGTCCGTGCTTCTGATGTGACCATGTGTAGGCAAATGCTTTACAACTGAAAATAAGAAAACAAATTGAAAGTTGCTGTTTCTTTTGAGTGCCTGCATGTTGAAATCTAAAGTTAATTCTTTGCTTGCCCTGGAAGAAATTATACCACAATCACAGCGAGCAATGCGGCTCCCCACTGTGCTTTTAGGTAAAATTTCTCACAGGGAGAATATAAAATTGTGAGTCTTAGCAAGTTGAAAGAGGGAGAAATTTTTTGTTTGGCATCTAAGCTATTTATTAAGGAGCTTGTGCATGTTCTGTTTGGTTGGTTTTGTTTGTTTTACTTTTAAACTGAGTAGAAACTTGCTATATTCGGTGCATGAATTTTTTAGCATTAAATATTAGGATGGGGTATGGCTTATTCCATAAAGAGGATTAAGCAAAAACATCTTACTTTTCTCCTCTGGTTATCTTTGCAGTAGACCTCGGGAAGAACAAAGGCAACGTGAAACTCAGTTACCTTTTTCTTCCTTTTCTTTTTAAAACAGAAGCCAGCTGCTTCTGACACTTTCAGTTTTTAATTTGCTTTCCTGTAGAAACACATCTTGTATATGGGGGGGGGGAGAGCGATGCCGAGGAGCTGGCAGTTCCCCCAAAGCCCTATTCTAGTTTTCCATGATATTGATTTTGATTTTCTGGAACACAGGGGATGCAGACGCCGTACTCTGCAGTCCAGCAGAAGTTTTTTTTCCAGCTTAGCTGGAGGGCTTTGTTGGAGCAGAGCGCGCACCCTTGCTCACACCATCTCATTCCCCAGTATAACCCAGCTCTTGCCAGGCAGCTGGGCGAGCTCCTTTGCAGCCCTCCCCGAGGGGCTCTCTTAATTTTCAGAGTAGAGGAGACAAAGTTATGCTAAAGGACTTGGCTCACACGGGTCCCTTCAGGGCTTTAAATGTCTGGGGATATGGTTAATAGTCAAGGTTAATAAAATATTTGACACGACTGTGCCAGTCTTGCTTAGAAGCTGTTCGTTGTAATGGATGTAGGGGGCTCAGAATAATGAACTCTAGTGGGAATGTGAAGGGAGAGATTTAAATTTCTTTTCCCCGGTGGGAATGTTTTGAAATAGGCGGTGGTTGGAGTCTGCCTGTCCTTTCCTTACACAACACGGAGCAGCTTTAAGCCACCCTCTTCACATCTCATGCTGTACGTGTTCCCTGGGACAACCTTCCCAAAGGAGATGTCAGCTGCATCCTCCACTAAAATGCAATTTTCAACCACTAGCCTTTACTCTTTGCTTTGAAGATGTCACTGAACTCTGCTTTTTTCTTTTTTTTTTTTTTTTTAAATAACTTTGATCATTATCCTCAGCCATAAAATGCTGTGGCTGCAATAGCTAACAACTGTCTATTTTAAAATAAAATTAAAAATTATTTGGGTGCTGCATGCTATAATTACACTTCATGTGCAGAAATTGGGCTCCAAACGATTTATCCAATTGCTGTTGTGTTTATTTTTCTACTAAAAATACTGTTTCGATATTTTTCAGTATGTACCTAAAAACTATTTTCAGTAGTGGAAAAAGTTGTTATTAATCTCATGGCATTTCCATTAGTTTGCACTTAACATAATAAAACATCAAACTTGTGGTAGATGCAATTCTCCAACTAACCTGGGATCTAGATCAGACCCTGCAGAAAAATATATTCTTAATTTGTCTCAATATCTGTTTAGGAGTTTTCTCTCCAGGGAGTAAAAAGACCAGTCTGCGCCATGGCATTTGTCCTAGAAATTCCAGGTTTAACTAAAAGGCAGGGAGGGACAGGGAAATGCACCCCCAAACCAGCTTCCTGCAGTTGGCAAATTGCAACAAAACTTAAGTAAGAACTTTTATATATTTAATAGTTGACATGGGCATTAAGTGCTCAAACTGACTTTTTAAACTTCTCATTGCAGGGGTTGGCTCTCAGTGTCTCTTCAATTTCTCTTTAATGAGAAATGATTTATAGCCGCCTCTTCTCAAACCTCCGTTACGGCTTTTGCAGTGGGTCAAAATCAAACCAAAACCAAACCCCAACAAAAAAGAGCAGAAAAAATGAACTTGTTTTCCCAGAGCTGGTTTCTGCAAGGAATTAAATTTTGCAAAACATCAAACCAGCGTTTTCCTTGCATATTTTGCATTTCAATGCATTTAATTTCTGCTCTTTACATTTGTCTTTAAGTACTTCAGCAGCGATTTAGCAACTGTTTTCACTCGTCTTTAACATCCACTTGTCTTTACTGTTAGGCACTGCTCAAATGCCTTCCTGGCAAGAAGAGCTGCTGTTGTAACTGTTTATTAGGCGACATCGTTTCCTTCCCATCCTGGAAGATTTTAAAGTGTGTGTTCACTGAAATGTAGAGCTTTTCTGAGGAACCTTCTGCATTTTTGCAACTTTGCCTCATCTAATGATCTGGTTCTACGATGATGTTTGCTCACTTTTGGAGGTGACACTGAAATCTGTGAGAGCTGACCCTTGAGATGAGACTTCACATCACTTCTAGAGTCTGAATATTAGTTTAATCTCCTGGTAGACATCCGCAGACTTAGTGAGAGGTGCAGTATGCACAAAAAGTGTGTTTTTCTTCATGCTGTGCACATTAGTCGGTGGGATTTTTTTAGTGCATCCTTCTGAAGCAACATAAAGGTTCTAAATCTTCAGGCTTTAGCAGTGCTGACTGTAACCAAAATGATCAATTCCAACTTACAGTTCTACATAATATCTAACAAAAAAAACGTTTTCCCTACACACTCATTGGAACGGGTAATTACTGTAGCAACTACAGACTAATTTGGAGTGTTAGCTGTTAATTAAAACACTACGGAGGTGTAGGGTTGTCTTTTGGTGTAACCAAAGCTCCTATTCAACCTTCATTAATCACTTTACAGTTATTGTGTTGAGGAAGGTCAGGACAATGGAGATGCCGGATCAGCCTGGAGTAAACAAATTCCTTTCCTCCCAGGTAACGGGCATTTGCAGAGCCACTGGACACACTCTACCCATGGGCATGGTATCCCCTTTGTGATCCAATTCTCAGCGATAATTAAATGTTAAATTGGTACTGTCAGTGCTCTGTAAACCAAACCAGGTATCTGCCCTCTGCTGGAAATTTAACCCAAACTTCCACGGATGAATTAGCGTGCATCATAATTAAATAATCAAGTCTTCCCTTTTAATTCACTTGGAAACAGGAGATCTCTCTTATGGAAAAAAGATCAGCTTTCTTGACAAGCTAATTAAGTTGCCAAACTGACCGGCACAGTCCATATTAAGCTAACAGACGTTAAGCATCCTATCTCAACCTGTTCATTTTCTTATCATTTCTGCTGATCTTAAGTCCATAATGTTTTGCCACCGTTGATTCATCCATAGTTACAGCAGAGTCCCTTTCCCCCCTTGGATTCTTTGATACACATTCGGCCACCCGTTTCCCAGAGCTTCCTCTGATGATTTTGTTGGACTGGTATTAAATAACACTGATTTTTGGTGTGCCTTTTTAAACCCGGTTTCTTCCTAAAAGCTCCTGCCACTTCGGTTACGTAAATGTTTATCCAGGAGTTATTAAATTAAGATGAAGTTTTTAGAAACTTCCAAGCTATTAACGGAAATTATATAAGCGCTCAGGGTTATAAATAAGATTAAACAACGGTCTCGCCTTGTGCTATGTATGGTTTTGCATGAAAAAAAACCAAACTATTAAAGCCTTTCTTCTTCAGTAATAATTGCTAGAGGTAGATAGTGGTAAAACATTATAATTCTTTAAAGTTAGTGCCACATATATGACATTGCTGTGCATAGTGTCATAAATCAGTATGAGACAATAAAACTAGTGAAGAGGAAAACCTTTAATGGTTTTGTTTTTATGCAAAATTACATCGGAATTTTAGTAGGCATTTTTTTCCTTACCTTTTTATTTTCTTACAATTTTCATCGTTAGGAATACACGTCATTGTTAAATAGCCAATTATAAATATTTGTCTTCAGAAATTAAGACAAACTGCTCTGGAAATACTGTGGAAAATTATTTTGGGTACATGTGAGCATTAACAATAATGTTTTTTAACCTTCTATGCACACTCTAATACTAAATACAAATGCAGAAAGTTCATTTCACTAATATTTGCTGTGGGTCCTTAGGTTATGGTAAAGAATCGGTCATTACCTGTTTTACTTCCCTTTAATCGATACAGCTGTGTATCTCACTGTCTTACCACTGAAAATACCCTTAGGATTGGCAAACTTGTGTGATAAACCTGGTTTTACATGAAGATTCTGAATAATGGATATACCATAATTTTATTGCATTAAAAGCAAATGGGAAAGTGGATAAATTCCTACTTGTAAGTTTGCTGCTAACACCGTACACAAGTCTTCAATGTGTAGATTTTATACAAAACATGCAGATGTTAAAACCTGCTAAATGGTTTCATTGTAAGTATATTCCTTTGATCAATCGTTTTCATCAGTCTTTCTTTAGAAATGCTATATAAAATTGGTTTAATGTAGAACGTATTAGCTGCAAGTCATTTTTCTGTGAAATTAGTGTATACATGTTGCACATATGTATAGAGGTAATTTTATGTGATCTCAAGTTATTTAATTTTTTCCCTCATGCAGGGCATATCATGTCCCTAGTGGAAAAATACTAGCAGTAAAGGTAAGATATTACAGTAATTTTCTTTCTCTCTTTCTTTCTCTCTATTCTTTCTTGACCTTGGTTTCCTTCCCTTCCCTCTGATTGTTAGATCTCAATTTATTTTATAGCATTAAAGTCTGCATTGTTTATACAGGAAAACTCCACTCAATAAATCTAGTCATTCCAAATGAGTTCCCAGAATCCAGGTTTTGCCCCCCAGGAACTGCTTTGGCACCGGGTGTTGGTACCACCACGTCATCTCGGGGGGTTTCAGGGAGGTCTCTGCAACCTCGTTTTTAAATAAAGAGAATTTCCCTGTTTTCTTTGGGATAATATTCTGTTTTCCTAGAAGATTTTTTAGGTTTAACAGGGAAATTTTGTGGGTTTAACAGGTTTTTAACAGGTTTGTTTATTGTAGTGTCTCTTTACCCCCTGATTATTTTTTTTATCCAACTGATCTGGCTTATTTTTTTTTAACTTGTTAAGAGTTTTTTGCCATGAAGCTGTGTCCTGTAGTGGGCTCAGATAAATGCCAGTCTTACCTGAAGTTCAGTTAAGACTGGGGTAAACTAATAGTGCAACTCCGACAACAGTATACTGACTCTTGTATGTAATTTGTTAAATTAAATTTTTAAATTAAGTTATTATTATCTATACAAAAATTGTGAAATAAACTCTTTTTAATATTTCAAACTTTAAAAAAAAAAAATTGGCGATTTTGTTAAAACTCAAAGCAGTAGAGAATTCTGCAAAACAAATTAACTGTTGCATTCATGCAATTCCAATTAATAGTTTGGGATCTAAAAAAAGGTATAGTAAAAATATAATTTATGGAATAACTACTTAGAAAACTGTAAAATGGCCTTTTTGACTCATTTCTTTTCTTTATTTAATCATTAAATACTGGTATAACTGGGTTAAACTGAAAGGATGTGGGGGTGGAAGAGGAGGGCAAGAGGAGTGATGGGAGCTGGTTGCTGCAAGTGGAATTGGTGTTAAAAAGAATTTAAAGATGTAGGATTGTACTAAGGCTTCAAATGAAGTATTTATATTTACCAGGCATTATTTACATCTATGGGAAACTTTCAGATTTGGGCACAGATTGTCTTGTGGTTCCAGTAGATATAGTTTATGCAAAGGAGGTTCTGCCCATGTTTCAGCTCTGCCAAGGATCACATAAATCCCTTCACTCCAGTAGGAGAAATGCTTTTGACTTTCCAATGAATTGAAGAAAAGCCAGTGGTTACTGCTGGATTGGAAATGACTCTCTACATGTGGAAAATACGGAAATTACAAATAACTTCTAATTACATGGAATACAAATATCACTTGAAAAAGTTTCTGAAAAAGTGATTTTGAAAGTCCTTTCAAGTGGCATCTGTCATTCCTAAACCTGTCATGAGCAGTGAAGACAGGAATTTTGAGGTTTAGTAGGTACAAAAGTGCAGAAGATTAAATATGGGGCTGTGTAATGATGCTGCTTTTCCCTGGTACCTGCTACACTGCTTCCTCAGGTGCATCTGTCATTCCGAAACCTGTCATGAGCAGTGAAGACAGGAATTTTGAGGTTTAGTAGGTACAAAAGTGCAGAAGATTAAATATGGGGCTGTGTAATGATGCTGCTTTTCCCTGGTACCTGCTACACTGCTTCCTCAGGTAATCTTTTTCCAGCTCTGCAGAGAGCATCTTCTCTGCCGGTTCTGCTCGGCGCTGGCACCGCCGCTCGCCAGCAGCTCCGTGGGGCCAGGGGTGCCCTCGGAACCGGCCTGGGGAGGAGGTGGAGCAGGAGAAAACTCCCACAGGCAGGAGGAGAAATGAGTTCACCCTTTGCAAGGTTAATTGAAATCACCTCCCTGTGGCAAAAAAGCCTTTTCTCCCAGCAATTTCACCTCCGAGTTTCCCTTAGAGTCCACAGGTTTGATTAGTCCTCGTGGATAATCGGCATCCTGAAGATGCGGGAAACTGGATTCTCTTGTAGCTATTACTTGTGGTGGTCTTGTCACTCTCCGTTACGTTGTTTTTTTTCAGTATGATTTTGGAAGAAAGATTACATCAACACGTGTGTGTTACCATAGCTTAAAATAACATGCTCCCAAGCTGGAGGTCAGGGAACCTGCTACGACCGCGGTCGTGCTGACTTGCGTTATTAAGAAAATTACTTGACGTGTCTCTGGCTCAGCATCACCAGCAATAAAAAGAGGATGGTAACGCTGGCGTTTGACAGGATCATCACACGGATCAAGTGTTTTGACAGGGGATTACCACGCTAATGGGAACGTCGCTGGATGGATCTGGGAAAGCAGAGTTCTCTGTTCTGGGGGGCTTTTTTGTTGATGATAATACGCGGATTTGATAGGACAAGATAACGTCCTGAAAACCTGTTGATTAAAATGCTTTCAGCTGGTAGATAATCTTGGAAATACATTGAACAGGAAAACAAACCAATGCTAATACCTATGTTAATGACCTTGCATATTTTATATAAACTTTACAGCTAGACAACATGCAGAGGATTTAATAGATTTTTTTTCAAAGGTAACTTTTTTCTAATTAGAGGGAAAAATCCGAATGAGAAATTTGAGCGTACACTGGCTGATTGCCGTTCCCCAACCCCTTTTAGTTTCTCCTGCTCTTAAGCTAGCATTTAAATGGACCATTTGATTAATCATTTGTATACTGACTATAATACTCCCAAATTTCCTTTGAGTTGTACATACTGTAAAAGACAATTATGTCGCCACGGATTAAATAAGTGAATTAAAACAGAATAGCAGCTTAATTTGACCTGTGATTTTGCTCTCATTCCCTTTAGTGGAACGTATGCCACTCCAGCAAATAGATGAAGTCATCCATGACAGCTTGTGATGAATTGCCGTATTTATACTGTATATTTTAATAGCCTCACACTAATTTAAATTGAGCACAGAGTAAATTATAATTCAGTCACTTGACTGCTTGTATTTAACTTGACAACTCATCCTTATTTGTCCTGGAGGTGTAGTGGAGAGCAGAGGAAATATGCTCAGGTATTCCTCTTTTAAAAATTAACCCTTTTTGCTTGAAACATGGGGTATGTTGAGTTCATGTACGTTACAAGCGTGTTAAGGGATCCCAAGATTGCTGTATTTTAGGCAGGAACTTGATGAGGAAGATGTGCAGGAGTCCTTGGAGCCCCTTGCTGAATCCCAGAGGTCTGCTGTGTCATTTAAATTATATTTTAAAAAAATTTTAATGCCCCTCTTCTCTAGGATGTTTCTCCAGCTCTACCTTTGAGGCACCATTTCAGCTAGTTTTGAAATTGGGGCAAGTTCTGGAGATCAGTGACCAGACCCTGTGCCCCATCTCTAACTGGTGGTGTTCATCTGCATCCCCCAGGCTGGGTACCCCTTGGTGGGCAGGGCTGACTGGGGACCCCCCCAACCTCCTCTGCTCATCAGACTTTTCTTGTAACTTCTGATACAAACCTGTTAAGAAACTCTGTTCCCATGAGGGTTGAACAGCACGTGCTATTTTATGCCGGATTAATTGGGTTTTGCTTTTCTGCTCTCAATTATTCTGGCAAAATAACAGAGTTATATAAAATATAATAACAGTGGTAAAATAACAGTGATTTTTGGTACAGAGTTCTTTCCAAAGGTGCCCTTTGTCTTCTGTTCCATCTCATTTTCTTACCTGTTTGGGGAGGGGTTGTGTGGATTTTTCTCTTGCTTTGACGCTGCTCCAGCCCATATTTAGCACTGTCAGCTCACATATTCTTAAAGTTGTTTCACCGATTTAAACTTCATTTTCTAAATATACTTAGAAATTTCATGCAAAAGGAGGATGACCGTGAAGATTACAAGTGCAGATTAAGGCAGTGCTGTATAGATATTATTTTTTTCCCCCCTCTTTCTGCCCCCATTTCAATGCTGTAAATACCAGAAGGTTCCTCCAGCCTTTACATGGGATGAGAGTCTCTCCAGTGTTATGTCACACAAACTACATGTGTTCAGATGGAAAAAACACTTCTTTATGATAGTTATCTAGAGAAAGTGAGCTGGTGGTCTCTCCTAACTAATTTGATGGTGATGTTCACTTACTGTACCGTTGCGGTACGTTTCTGTGTGTGCTCTGCCCTGTACTATCCTCAGCCCTTGTAAACAGGGGAGCTCTGCTTCTCCAGGTTATCTCACTATTAGAATGCAGGGTCTGTATGTAATTATAGTTAATGCAAATGAGCCGGAGACCTTTCTTCGTTGGCGGGTCTTGGTTGATTGGATGTCGGTGATGTATTTGACGCTGATCATGCTAACTAGTCATCGGGCAGGGCCGTGGAGCCTTCCCTGGGATCCAGGCAGGGAAATTTCTTCCTGTGAGCAGAATTTAGTGAGGTAAAATTTTAATTTTATACTGTTGACAAGATTAAATTCTGTTAATATTCAGTGGGTAAAACTGATGGTATTCCAGCAAATTATTTTTAAGTTTTTTCACGCTGGAAAAATGTGAGTATTGTTGGCAAATGATTATTGATCTAGACAAGTGTGTTAAACGTTTCTTGGCAGCCCTGTATTACACTTACAATTTAGTTTAGTGACAGCTTTTATAAATAACCCTAAAGCAAACTCTTGATAGAAACAGGTTATCGTTTTTTCTTTCAGACAGATTTTGATACTGTAGAATGCCTGTGTTTGGAAATGGGCTCTCTGTATTTTGTTTCGTCAGCAGTACGTGCAGCCTATTATATCTATTCTGCTAATTCTGCAAACTGACTAGATTTTGTTTCCCTTTAGCTTAAAGTATTAAACTGTAAAATATTGTGTGGTAGCAGACTGAGCCCGGCTAAATGCATTTGAAGTCCATTTTGGTTTGTATAGTAGTACTTAATAATTGAGTGTGCAAGTCTTCAAATAATCACGGCAAGGAATTGTCTGATAAAATTGACTTTCTGTGCTGGTTTTGTGGGAAACACCATCCTTCGTAAGAGGGTCTGTCTTGAAAATCCTGAAAACTTTATAAACTAGTCACTACGCCCCACCTTCACTGCAGCACTTGGTGCTTTAGTCCTGGTTAGCAGCCTGGCCCAAAATGGTGAAAAAAGAGGGCATGGATGGAGGAAGCAGGAGAAGAGCATGATGGTGAGTGGCTGGTTGGAGCGGCTGAGCGCTCAAAGCCAGGTTGGTTGTAGTTGTTTTGAGGGATGCTTTGGTGATGCTTACCTAAGCATCTGCACCAGCTGCCACCAGCTGCATTTTTTCCTCTATATTTAACAGGTTTCCATGTTTCGTACAACGTTAGGATGATATAAAATAGGGGGTAAATATTAAAGAAACTGAAAAGGTAAGAGGGGATGGTTAGAGATTCTCTTTTAGGGCTCCACTGAGACATCCAGAGATACTTTCAATAGTGCAGTGCGTAGCCCTTAATGTTAACATCAGCCCGTTCACCAAGGCCTGGTGGGGTCACAACCTTCTGGGCTTCTTTGTAAGACATCTCTGTAGTGGGAAGAATTGGTGCTGAGCAGAGGAAGAGGAGGAGGAGGAGGCTGTACCAAGCAGGAGGTGATGGCACTTTGGGGGAACAAGCAGCATCTCTTGAGTTTACTGATCTGCTCTTGGTGTTCCATGTGGTGCTTGTCTTCAACTTCTGACTCTGCTCTTGGTCAAATGGTTAAATGACAAACCTTAGGACATTTCATGAATGAATTTGGCTGTTTAACTTACTTTACTTACAGCTGACTTCTTTTAAAAGTGAATAAGTCTGTCCTTTCATTTCCATTTCCTTCCTTTGCTCATGGCTCTGTTCAGATGTTCTCGCCAACTATTCCTCCCTTTCCTTTTCTCACATAAGGATAACTAATACACATAGATCTTTTTTTTTTTTTTTTTTTTTTTTTAAAAAAAAAAAAAAAAAAAAAAAAAAAAAAAAAAAAAAAAAAAAAAAAAAGTTCTAGGAAAAATATTAAACCC